GCCGTCGTCTTCTCCCAGCAACGGCTGCCGCCTACGTCTCAGCTGCAGTCGTCCGGAATCCCAAATAGTCCTCTTCTTCCTCTGCTACCCAGTGGCTCTGTCAGCCACTACGCCGTCACGACTGGGTGAACTGCTTCAGACGTTGCCTACGTCACTGCACAGACTTCACTTCTTCTTGCACAGTACCTGACTGGAGCACTTGTTGCTCAATAACCGTCGATTCCCTCTCTGGTTCAACACATGAACTAGGGAAGACCTCACAGAGTACTGGCAGACTTCAGGTGACGCGTAAATCCACGGGAGCGGGAACAACTGTCAAACTGACAGGACCAATCGTCGCACGTCCAACCTCCTTGACGTGTCGTGTCTGACTGCTGGCGCCAGCGCGGCGCGCTGCCCGGACCCCCTTCCTTCGTGACGTCACTTTCGCCACGGGAGGTTTTCATTGGCTCTCGGTGCCACATTGCTGTTGGTGACCAATCCGGTGCCACTGATGTCACACAGTTTTGGCGGGGAATCAGGAGAGCCAGCGCCATCTTGGCTTCCTAAAGGGCCTATACCACAGGCCAAAATATTACTGTTTCACAAATTTCTCGACTCTCCGAGAACACTCCACTCTCTCCCATATATCAAATTGATGCCTGCAATGCAGAGAACGCTTGGGAAAAGCGGACATGACTCTTACTGCAGGCGTGGGAGAAATATAAGGGGGGGAACACCGTCACTCTCATGGAAACTACTGGAGGGTCTTTCTACACATGGAAAATACTGGAGGGTCAGGTCCCAAATCTACACAGTAAAATAACAACGTACTGGAGTGAACGATATGGAAGAAAATGCAAGATTGAACCAGTGAAGAGCAGAGGTGCCATAGGCACAATCAGAGAGCACTGTATAAACATCAGGGGTCCGCGGTTGTTCAACGTCCTCCCAGCGAGCATAAGAAATATTGCCGGAACAACCGTGGACATCTTCAAGAGAAAACTGGACGGTTTTCTAAGAGAAGTTCCGGATCAGCCGGGCTGTGGTGGGTACGTGGCCCTGCGGGCCGCTCCAAGCAACAGCCTGGTGGACCAAACTCTCACAAGTCGAGCCTGGCCTCGGGCCGGGCTTGGGGAGTAGAAGAACTCCCAGAACCCCATCAACCAGGTATCAACCAGGTATGTCACAACATATATTACAATACACACTATTGAATAATATTACTGCAAAAAAACTAAGAAAAAATCAATCGGAGACATGGAAATACTTACGTGATAATATCTTTGTGGCAACTCCCATCTGTCAGCTCGGGTGACGCTGACCGGCTCTGACGACCGCTCTGTCAACGCCCACTTTTTGCCAGACTTCCTCGGTCAATTGCGTCCAAAATGTCGCCTACGATTTTTTTTTATTTTTCCCGTGCTCAGGGGACACAAATTAACACTTTCGTGCACCCCGCACGCCACCCCTCGACAGGGCGATATGGGCCCCAGCGTGTTACGGAAGCGCGCGTCAATTCCGAAAAGTGTATACTCTCTTCAACTTTGTCACCTCAATTTTCGTTCTACGAGATTAAATTTGGTATCATTGTGTTCGCAATAAAATTCTCTACAGCACTAAATGCATATAAACTCCAAAAGCCCGGCTAATTACCCGCAGCAAGCAGAGAAAGTGCGAACGAGTTACCCGGGAGCGCACAAACGCGATAAAATGTTTTCACTATTTTCACTCTGGTCACCTCGTCGTCTGGTCACCTCTGGTCACCTCGTCCACCTCGTCACCTCGGTCGTCCTTCGTCCTAGGTCTTTCATTTTGGTCTCAATGGGTTTGTAATAGAATTCTCTAGAGGAATATTAGCATATAAAATAAAAAACCTGGTCACGCTCCAACCGCCGACGAGTTGAAGATGGGCCACGCGTTAGCCGTGAGTGAGTGCTCAGACGCCTTCCTGCTACACTCCCAATTCCCGCCCACATATGTTTAGTATTATTTCCTGGTGGTAATCTCAATTTTCGTGTTACAGCACTCATTTAGGTATGAAAATGTTCCTAATAGAATTCTTCAGATGGATATGTGCATATAAGGGCCAATTGAAGAACAACATTGCCTGTACAATACGGGAAAGTATGAAAAAAATAAATAAATAAATAAATAATAAAAAAATTTGCACTTGCCACCTCAGTGTTGTGTGTTGAACATGACATGGGTTGAACATTTGTTTTATCCACTCCACCTGCTCCTGGAAAACGTTTCCTGCAGGGTCAACCCATGTTTTGTATAGGTGGAGTGGATGGTGGGAGTTAGTCTCACATGCTTGTACTTCTCCTGTACACTACTCAGCTTCTGCTTTTCACGCCTTTCTTTCGCAATTTTCTTCCTGGAAGGGCCTTGTTCATGATCACTATCCATCGTGGAGTAAGCGTAGATAGTTTCTGAAGCTGCAGTAAGAAATATAGCCACGGAAAATAGCCGAAATGTTCACATGTTTGAGACGCGAGGGGAGGCGACACCGGTCACAATAGTGGAGCGAAAACAATGGGCCGAAGGCGTGTGCCGCGCCGCCTGCAGGCCACTAGGCGCAACAAAGAAAATGGGAAGACATCGGTGCGCATTTTAAAACCAGTCCCAAAAAAATCAGATAAAAACCTGATTTTTGGCGAATTTTTAAAGTGGATGACGCAATGCTGCGTTATCCCCGGCATTACCGCCAGTAAACGGATGACGCAATGCTGCGTCATCCCCGAGCGAAAGTGTTAACATGTTTAAAAGACAAAATTTTTTTTTTTATTTTTTTTTTCTTGCGCACAGGGGTGTAAATGTTCTCAGGACCCCTGAGCAGTGGAAGGGTTAAACTGCACGAAACGTCATGTGATGTGTGACATTGAGCTCCGTTTTTTTAAATTTTCTGAAATTTTCAAATTTTTTGTGCATAATCTATTAGGCTAATGCTCCAACTTTGTCTAAATGATACCAGTGTAATTTGAAAAACATGAAAATAAAAAATAAATTTAAAATTGAATATTGAAAACTTCTGATTTTGAAATCGGCTGCAAAAATATAAAGTATCACCAACTGTTCATCTGGTGTTGTTATGCTCTCAGGTTAACTTATCATCTTCATTTTCATATATTTAGAATATGGGTTTTCAGTATAGTTTACTGTAAAAAAAAATTGTCTATGGCATTTGAAATATGCGCAAATTTAGACAACAATAATTTATAACTCCAAACGTTTAGAGTTTATGAAAAATCCATTCTACAGGGATTGTAGAACAGTCATCTGTGCACACTATATGTAAAAATGGTAAGAATCGGTCAGAAACTAGATTTTTGGATACTGAAGCAAGTTGAAATTCTAGTTATAGATATAATTGAAGTTAAAGTTATCGACAGTGAGTAAGGCAGTTCGAATTCATGAATTTATTTATATGTTGTAATAAACTTTGTTTGGCATTCGTACTCGAATATGTGAAAGTTGTAGGTCAATGTGTGTTGAAATGAAATCAAGAAAAATAACCCTCCAAAAAAAACAATATATAGGGATAATTATAATAATTATAATATAATGATTTAGGGGATACTTTTAGGGTAGACTTTATATAAGAGAAAAATACCTAAACTGGTCCCTAATCATCTAAACAACCTAAAGAGACAAAGAAAATAGTTTAAAATCTGTGAAAAAAATCTGCCAAAAAAATTAAAAGTCCCAAGTTCTCCAATTTGTGACTGATTTATTTGTTGACCAATTTCATTCTTTCTTCACATAGTCAGGGACATGTATGCACTCTCCAGGATGTAAAGGTTTCAACAAAATCAGATAATAAACAAAGATGAAAAAAATAAAAACTTAACCAAAAAAAAATCACCCCCAATTTTTTTTGACATTGATGAAAATAACAGATATTAACATTGGGCAATGTATTTATATGATACATATCAAAATAGAGCATAATAACATACTCATTATTATCTGTGTTGTTATGTATTACTCAGCAATGCTATAAAGGCACCAGCTGTATATCCACTTTGTGGACACTTCTTACTACTACTGTATTCTTCTTCTTTGTGCATCAGACAGGTGCTTGCATCTCTTTATTACTGCATAATCCCTCGGTTCCAGTTAATAGCAGCTGTTCTTCTTATCATCAACATGTTCTTTTTAAAAAATTTGTCTAAAATCAATTTCTAAAAATATTTTGATGAAAGTTTCATTTCGCTGAAGCCAATAAATTGAAGATTTGTTTAACATTGTTAAGTAATTTTTACATAATTGAAATATTTTTTGCTTCCCTGCCCCTTTTACTGAGCAGTTTTAAGGGTTAAATAAGTTACACCTCACAAATGCCTCCTGAAGGCATTTTTGGTTGCAATGTATCCCTCACTCTTAACAAATCAAATTTACACTATTTAATAATTGGATGAGAATGGATTTTATATTTAAATTAAATAAAATTCTGCAGTATAGGAAGGATAAATTTCAAAGTTCAGTTTCTCAAAACCTCGCTAATTGTTTTTGTATAAAAAATAATTAGGTAATTACTGACCTTTAGGCAGTAATTACCTAAGTGTAGTTACAGGATGAGAGCTACTCGTGGTGTCTCGTCTCCCCAGCATTCTGTCATATAATGCACAGTAGTCACACAAATGTGCTCAAGGCACACTGGCTTGATCTTCTCTAGCAAATTTAACTTTTGAATGCTACTCATATTTATATGTAAACACTCAAGTACAGTATATCTACTGTATTTAAAAGTTATAATCTTGCACTCTAAATCTGTACTAATTTGAGAAAAGACTGTTTTATTCCACTCTAAGCCATTATAAATAAACAACGGTCCTACGTGAAGTAAAGTGTGATTGTGTGCGTCTCTAAACTATTTTAGTGTACATTTGTTACAGCTATGATATACACATTAATTTTTGTATTATTGCCTGAATCATAGGTTGGGTGCACAATCAGGTTAAACATAGTTTTGTCTGTTATTCTGATCTAATAACCATATCTTGTCTTCTCATCAG